CCCGAAGAAAAGGGGGGGAGGGGGGAGTCGGATTCCTGGTCAAGGAACACTTGTTTGACGTGGTGGAAGTAGTGGTGAAAACGGAATTCGAGGAAAGCCTATGGCTTAAGATACCTGGGGAGCGGGGTGAGAAAGACTTGTTTCTAGGGAACGTATACGTCCCACCGTCGTCGAAGAAAGTCGCAAGCAAGGCGCAGGAGAACTTTGGACAAATTGGGGAAGATGTCCAGAGGTTCAGTAGGAAGGGAGAAGTTGTCATGGTGGGCGATTTCAACTCCAGAGTAGGGAAAGCTTCCAGTAGAGGACAGGCGATCGGGCAGCACGGAGAAGACAAAGTGAATGACAACGGAGTGAGGATGCTTGAATTCTTGGGAAGCAACGAACTGATGGTGTTGAACGGTAGGAGGGAATGCGATAAGCCGGAGTTCACAAGGCAACGGGCAGTTTGCAATGAATACTCAATCCTCGACTACATCCTGGTAGACAGGGGGAGCACGCAGATCCCAGAGCTGCACATAAGTGCGATAGATATAGGTTCGACCGACCACTTCCTCATATGGGCAAACATCGACCGATCCAGAAAGATCAAGAGTAAGAAACAGAGGAAAGTGTTCCGGTGGAAGGTAGAGCGTTTGGGAGACGATGGGACACGGGATGAATTCCAGAAGGGGCTGGCTGGTAGTGTAGAATCCTTCAGGAAACTGCTGAGAAGCGTCGAAGACGGACAGGTAGACGTACAGACAGCAGGGGACAGGGTGATTGAAGGGTGGGAGTCCATCGTGAACGCAACGGCAGAGAGAGTAGTGGGAAGGAAGGTGGTACGATGTGGGGTATCGGTTAAGTGGTGGGATGACGAGCTGAAAGAAGAAATAGGGGAACGTAGAGAAGTCTTCAAGCAGTACCTGAGTGAGGCGTCTGAGGAGAGTTGGGAAAAGTACAGGGCCAAGAGAAAACAGGTGAAGGGACTAGTGAAAAAGAAGAAAAAGTGTATTTGGGACGAAGTAGTGCAGAAGGCCAACGGAGGTCTGGAGGGAAACGTCAAGCAGATGTGGGAAGGGATTAGTGGAATGGTAAAAAAGACCGCGCAAGGGGGGGATACAGGGGTCGCAACTTTGCGAGGTGTGAACGGTGGATTAGTCAGCAGTGGGAAGGGAAAAAGGGAAGTTCTAGCAGGACACTACAAGAGACTTGGAGTGCCCTCGGAGAATGAAGCTTTTGACCAAGCGTTTAAGAAGGAGGTGGACGCATGGGCCCAAAAAGAAGAAGAGACATCGAAGGCAGACGTTGGGAACGTAGAACTAGAAAAGGAGTTCACTGAGGACGAGGTTGAGGCGTGTGTGAACAAGCTGAAGTGCCACAAAGCAGCAGGAGCGGATGGGATAGTCAACGAGTTCATGAAGTTTGGGGGGAAGGGGATGATCCAGCTGATGGTACTGCTATACAATTGGGTGTGGAAAAACGAGTATACGCCAAGTAGATGGAGGGAAGGAGTGGTTGTGAACTTGTTCAAGAAAGGAGACAAGACTGACCCAGGAAACTACAGGGGGATCACACTGTTGAACACAGTAGGAAAAGTGTTCTGTAAGCTGCTGAACGATAGGATAGTGGGAGTATTGGAGAAGGAACATAGCATTAGTGAGGGCCAGGCAGGTTTCCGCAAGAAGAGGGGGTGCGTAGACCACGTGTTCACGGTAGGGAGAATCATCCAAGGTAGAAAGAGGGCGGGAAAGCCGACGTACTGCTTCTTCCTGGACGTGAAAAAGGCATACGACACCGTATGGAGAAATGGGTTGTGGAAACAACTGTCCAAATACGGGATCAAGGGGAAAATGTGGAGAGTGCTGAAGAAGATGACAGAGTGCACGAAAAGCGCGGTCATGCTAGACGGAGAACTGTCAAAATTCTTCGACATTGAGCAGGGGGTCCCACAAGGTTGCACGCTGTCCCCAACATTGTTCCAGGTGTTCATCAACGATCTGTTGGAAGTCGTAGAGGCAGTCCGGAAGGGAGTAAAAGTAGGGGACACGGAAACGTCGGTTTCAGGAATGCTGTTTGCGGATGATTTTGTCGGTATGTCGGACACCCCTGAGGGACTGCAACTGCAAATTGACGCGGCGAAGAAGTTTACTGATAAGTGGAGATTGTCTGCCAACGTTCAGAAGAGTGCCGTCATGGTATGCAACGAGAACAAGGAGGAACCAGTAGAACATAGATGGAAGTGGGGGATCGAGGAGATTGCAGTAGTGGACCAGTACACATACCTCGGAGTAGAGATCGCCAAAGACTTCTCGTGGAATGTACACATGTCCAAGGTGGCGGAAAAGGGCAAAGCACGAGCAGGGAAGCTGCACCCAATACTCGCAAACCGGCACCTCGATACACGCATCAAATTGACGGTTTTGAAGAGCGTAATCGTACCGCCGCTAGAGTACGCCGGAGAAGTATGGGAAGGAAATAAGAAAGTAGTGAAAGAACTCGAGGCGGCGAAGATGAAAGCAGCGAATCCTAGGATGCTCCAAACGCACAAGTAATGCAGCCGTCAGAGCAGAATTGGGGATCCAATTCCTACGGTCGGGAAGAGACGCGAGGAAGCTGACCTGGCAGTATCGCATGTGCGGGATGGGAGAGGAGAGGTTGCCGAGAATTGTATGGGAGGCGAAGTGGGCAAACAAAAAGAGGGGTAGACAACCCACGGAATGGGTCAAGGTTGTAGAGGACGTATGGAAGGGGCTCGACATCGACGAAGATGAAACGCTGGAAACGGAGGGTCTACAGGGGTTCAAGGAGAAGATATCTGTTGCTTGTGCCGAGAGAGAAGAACAGAATCTGAGGAAAGAATCCAAGGATAAGGAGGGTCTAGAAGTGTACGGAATGTTGAAGGAAGGAATAGGGTTCAAGGACTACCTACATGGACCAATGGATGCAGGAGGAACAAAGCTTAAGGTCAAATTCAGGACCGGGGACATAGGCCTTCGTCGTCGACGAAGACATAGGACGGTAGACGACGAAGACGACAACGAGTTCAAATGTGATTGCGGCTTCGAATGCGAAGACCGTGTTCATGTAGTCGCGGAATGTCCGTTGTACAAGAAGGAGAGGGAAGTGTACGTGACTGAGCTGGGAAAAATAGATGGAACGTACAGGGAGATGTTTGAGGCATGGAATAGAGAGGAAAGGACGGTAGCTGTACTGGGGCATAGGAGGTGGGTTGAAAAGGCGGGAAGGGATATCGTTAGGATAGACAGACTAGGGAAGACATTTTTGAGCCACCTTTGGCAAAGTAGGAAGGAACGATTGGCCATCGGTGATCGGTCCTGTGGGAACAATGCTCCGTCCTCTCGAGGATGCGTGGTCAATGGTCTAACCGCTAAGGCATGCAAAACATAGGTGTACGCCCCCCCCCACCCGGTGTTTGCCATCGGGGTTGGGCTTTTGTCGCTTGGCAACGACGTTGTAAAACAAGCCAATTCACTTCGCGAACTCGGCAACCAGGTTACAGCTTTTTTTTATCTTTTTTTTTGTTTTTTGGCGGATNTTACAACTGTCTCTGGAAGTGAAAGCACCAGAAAATTAATTTAGTCATACGCAGCTGTCATCCGTACGCTAGGAAGTAAGCATAAGATGCCAAACACCCTTAGCAGGATGCAGCGCACCCTTCATGCGACTCGCCGAATTTCTCACGGTGCTTCGCGCTTGGTGATGTGAGAGCCTGGTCCGGTGAGAACCCGGCGTGCTCCGTCCCGGCTTTGTAGGGATTCGAGGTCAATGGTCTAGCGACTACGGCATGCACTACTATGAGTACACCCATATTGCCGTCCAACTGCACCAGACAAACAAACCAAAATACGGTTATGCCTTCTTCATGTTCACCTTTGCTCGTTCTCCAATGCTGAGCTGGCTCACACCATCGTCTAGTCCCGGGACTACCTGCAGCAGCCCAAAAAGGCAAGATATTAGTAGCGCATTGCGGCTTGGGCATGCGTTGTGGGTCTTGGCAGCTCGACAGCTACACTTCCACCTTTGCACGTTCGTCCGGGTTAGTCTGCAGTTTTCTCGAAATTTTCCAACGGTCGCAACAAGTGGAAGGAAGATCAAACGCCGCTCGCGAACGTGTGACATTGAGTTCCCCGTATTGTCCTTACGAATACCGTTCAACGATCATTGACATCTTGTTTGTAGGAGAGATAATCGAGGCCCGGACATCCACCAACCATTGGTGCCATGGTGTGCATGTGTACGTGACATTAACAGCCTACTACATGTTTGTGCGCTGTGTACTGGCGATAAGCTTATTCTGCAATATACGGTGCTGTCCGGAAGGGTTCAACATCGCCAATTGTACACCCTTTTATTCCCCAGCCGCAAACGCACTCATCCCAGGGTGTTCTGTTCGTCGTACTGCACCCGCACGTGCCCCCTTGGTCTTGCCTGCTCGCTGCCCAACTTAAACTTGAAAGGTTTGCCTCGATTTCGAGACGAGTCGAATTGTGTCCCATCCTCCAAATATCCGGTGTAATGAATGGTCACCGTCTGCCCCTATGTAGGTCCGTTAATGAGAGCAACGGCGGCAGATTCCATAGTACGCGATAAATGGTACAGCAGGCGCGACTTGTGTACGTAGGCGGGCTACAATCAACAGGCGAAGGTCAATCCGTTCTGATACCGGCACGCAACAGCTCGTGTTCGAGAAACAAGCGGGTGGTGCACATTTTGAAGGTGCCAGGCTAGCGGAAGACCCTATGTCTGCATGTTGTACAAACATTGATTCTTCTTCGACAACCCTTTTCTTCAGGCCAAATCGAGTACCGAAAACTGCAAGCCGGATGATAATGTGGTCACTAGTACTGCGTGATGCCATGTCCTGTCTCACCACGATATTGGGTCTGGTAGGAACATGCTGTCATAGGATACATCAAGCAGAGGCACCATGCGCAGGTGAGGCAAGATGAGGTGGGCAGAGCACCAGCGAGAACCGCAAACCTGCAGAATATTTGGCTTAGTTCACCGACCTTCTGAGGGTAGTTAATGCCGTCTCCTGCCGCAAAGATCTCGACGGAAACCGCCCGCCTTGCCATCAACTTAGCTATCAGAGCACTGGGTTCAACGCTATGGTGTGGGCTGTGAAGCACCGCACCGCTACTCTTCCGGTCTGTACCGACCAAAAATCATTGCGGCCAACTGGCGTTTCGCGTCCGTGCGGTGCGATTGGCACTGAACGCGTCATCATCATCCATCAATATCTGACCCTTTATAGACTCGGCGGAGCCCCTTTTCGTTAGGATTCATGCATACACCCAACACTCGCCTTGACCCACAAGTTCATCGCATGCCTGGCACGTGGGTCAGCCGAACAAGAAACACACATCTTATTCGAAACGGTGCGGCCACGACAGGGCCTTCGGAGGGGCGTAATTCCCGCCATTGAGATGCTTGCAGATCCCAACTACAGCATGGTGAGTCCAAAAGCGCGAATATGTGTTCGTCTACGTTTTTTGGATCTACCGAACGAACCTTGGTATCTCCAGGCCAAACTCCACTGCCGCCCGATTTTCGAGCCAGGACGCACTTCCAATGTACCCTCGCTAAACCTTCTTAACGCTCAGCAGCATGCCTACGCGCACCCGCCTCCGCTTCGCCAGGCTTCGACACTCGTTCTACTCGGTCGTGGGTATGACTTAACTTGTCCCAGATGTACATAGTCCACCGCAGTTTTACGAAATAGACCGAGCTCATCGACTACATAGTGCGTCACTCCCCGCCGACTGCTGGAGCAAACACCAAAGGGGTGCATTCGGATGTAGTCTAATCAGTTATGGATGAGTGTTGTCGATTGCCTGCGATCCGATCCTGCGCAGGGAGAGAGAAGGAGAGAGAGAGAGAGAGAGAGAGCGAGAGAGAGAGAGAGAGAGAGAGAGAAAGAGACTTGCCGAGCTACACTGCAACGACGCGTGTAGTTGTAGTCCGTAGTCAACGATCCGAAAAATAAAAGACGGGAGCTACCTACTAGTCCCAAGGACTAGAGTTAGTTGGAATCTATGCAGGTTGGGTGGTATTGGCGCGCCATAAGATGCGTGGGCGATGGAGAGGTGGTGTGACGGTACTCGTGGGAGCTCAATACCGAAATTCGCCTAACTATTTCCTCTCAACCACCAACATATACGCAACGCACCTCCAGATAGACCTACAGCAGTCTCCCGCGTGATACGAGAACAAGACAACTAACTACGAGGGGTAGTCTAACCCGCCGGAACCGAACCCAGTTTCGGTTCGGGAATTACAGGATGTAATTGCGCCGCGTATGTTCTGCGAGAGACGCGAGACGCGAGACGCCGAGAGGCCGTAGTGGCTACGTGTACTGTGTGTAGAGGGCATGCGTGAGAGGCCCATCGTTTCACGGCCCATCTTCCCATCAAAACGTGTCCTGGCCGTCGAAGGGGGTGCAAAGGAATACTGTCTGCACATGTCGGCTCACAGCTCATTACGTGCATGGTGTTCTATTTTCATCTCCTGACAGTTTAAGCTCGTGAACCAGACGCTTGACTGGTGGTGCCATGCAATGGCTGTCGACGGAAATGATATGATTTGGGGAGGTTTTGCGTTGCCTACGTTTCAGAGTGGAAATTTACACCTTTTCACAGAAATAGAGTGTATATCGACTGTAGACTATAACGTTTGTTTGCGTGCGGTCAATTAGCATCGACCGCTGCTGTATGCTGTATGCCTAGTCTAGACATTTTTCGTAAAGTAATGCTGAAGGGAAGGGAGGGGGGCGCGAAATAACCACTCTGCCCCACAAAAAAAAATGCAGTTGTGTTCAGCTAGGCAGGGGGATGGGAGCACCGAAGATTTCTAATGCTATGGGGGTATCGCACCCTCATGTTTCTTATTGGGGCATTTGTTACGTTGTGGCCGAAATCGATTGAGGTGTGTTTCTCAGCCCTTTTTTCAGATTTTTCGTAAAAGCTTGAGCCTTTTTTTTTACAAGTTTTCTTTCATGCGGACGCCATCTGCATTATCACAAATACTAGGGAGAGAATGTGCACGATCACGTACACGGTTCGACAGCACTGGTATGGAAAGAAGAATGAATGATGTTGCCGTGTGGGTGTTAGGAAGCAAGTGCGAAGAGGCCCAGGATCGAAAATGTTCATAGTCCTGATTGAACCCTCAAACTTGAGCCAGCGCAAAAGAAATCCAAACAGCGGCGTAGACCGGCAGCGTACTCCGCAAAAATTACTCCAGCTGCATGAACGGCTGTGTCGTCATCATACTAGACTCAGCGCTCGTAATGAACGCGGGTGGGTGTAGAGTATGACAGCGACGCACACTTTTGGCAAGTATTGTATTGGGCGATGGCTGCAGCTTGCCTCAGTTGTACAGCGTCCACTCTAAAATAAATAAAGTCGAATGACACGCGACATCGTGTTAGTATTGATAACATGATATTTATGGAGCATTCGTTTTGACAATAGAACAGACTTAGAAGCCAAATCCCATCGCTTTTCAAGCCCCACCAACTTATCTTTCCGCCTCACTCTCACTTTCAGGTGTTCACTGCAGGCGTAGCAGCAGTCGCGTTTGTTTCGGCGGCCACATTCGTCCGCAGCTCACAAGCCGCCAAGAAACGGAAGAAAGAGGATAAAGTCAAGGCTCGCCGCGCCTCCGCCACACCCAAGGTTCGTTTCGTCGCGTGGGTTCAGACGGATGTCGCAGCAGAGGAGTCTAATGCTCTCGACACGCTAGAGCTCCACCTCGATACCGAAAACGTAGAGCTGGACGTCCAGGAAGCAAAGACACGCGAGACTTCGCACCGTGCCGAGAAGAAAGAGAAGCGGCTCGCAACGATAAGGAGGAGCCACGCGCAAGAGACCTGGGCATTGATGGAGGACGTCAGGCTAGGAGAGATTCAGCAAGGGAGGCTAGAAGGGCAGTTGGAAGCGGAGAGGGATGTGCGGGAGATCCGTTCGAATCGTTTAGAAGGAGATGTTGCCGCGGCGAAGGAGCGAGCGAAAACCGCAGAGCTGACGCTGGCGACTATCTCGGGACTTCTCAAGACTGAACAGGTGATGGGACGAACCATTAAAAGTACTCATGTGCCGGATACCATACTGCATGATGCCGAATCATATTTCTTTTTCACGCTGAAGATATTTTATCAGTTGAAGTGCCAATGTGTCTACACCTGCTTGTGAACCCCTGTGCCCTTCGAACACCGAACGTGACCAGAAAGTAGAAAGCCAAACGCTCTGGGTGTTATGTGTGAAAGAGCGTTCGTACACATGTTTCCGTCGGCACTTGGCACGTGTGACGCGACCAATCTCCGCCCCGTCTGGTGCATGCGCGTGCCTTCCTTCTCCAAAGCAGGAAAACGTCAACAATCTCAAGGCGGAGAACGAGCGCCGCCAAGCCGAGGTTAGAAGTCGCGTAGCTTTCCTGCAGCTCGTTCCCCCGTCGTTGCAATGCCCCCAAGACTCTGGCCTGCACAC